GGGGAGGAAGCATTTAAGAACTAGAGGAAAGTTGTATGTTTCATCTTTGCTAAACTGCACCCTAACTGGCTCATCTCCTCCCCGAGACCCTTTTGTAAGAGGATGTCCAGGTGCCTATAGATGGGCTTTGGGTCTCCAATATGCACTCCCCGTCATTCACAATGACATGATTTTTTGTTCTTTGATGCCTGATACCTGATCCCATTGACACCTCATGATCACACAGGCCGGTGTGCTTCTTCCATGTGGGCTTTGTTCCTTTTGAGCTCGATGGCCACTTGTTTACCTTCAAGCCTTTAAGACCCCAGATGCTATATATTTTGATAGCTGGGCACCATCAGCTTTCTTCACCACATTTGCTTATGCACACATTTGTCTTCAGTGACTGTGTCAGGAAGGTTTTTTAGAAAACAACCTTATTGCCTTCAAAGTACTCTCCATTATACTTAATACATTTGTCAAATCTGCTATTCCATTCTTGAAAACAGTTTCAAACTCATCTGGATGGCTGACAGCACCTCCCTCGTTTTTTTCTCCACCTCGTCTACATCGTCAAATCAATGTTCTTTTGTGTCTTTCTTCATTAGTGGAAACAAAAAGAAGTTGCACAGAGCGAGGTCAGATGAGTAAGGTGCCAGGAGCATGAGAGGCATGATGTTTTTTGCCAAAAACTGGCTCAGTGAGATGGCTGCATGAGCAGGGCATTGTTGTGGTGGCAAAACCAGTCCCCGATCTGCCACAAATCAGGCCTTTTTTGTCACACACTCTTATGCAATCTTTTCATAACCCATCAATAGAACGCTTGAATAACAGTCTGACCTGGTGGAACAAACTCCAAATGAACTATGAGTCAACATATTCGTCCATTTGTGAAGTTAACACACATCCAGGATGAGGTTTGTCATCAATCGACATTTCACCTTTTCTGAAACTAGAAAACCACTCATATACTTGAGTTTTCCCCATAACGCTGTCCTTGTAATCTGTGTTCAACATCACAACAGTTTCTGCAGCATTTGTCCAGAACAGGAAACAAAGTTTCATAGCCACACACTCTTCTCTTAAACCATCCATCACAAAAAGGAGAGGTTTGAGCAAAACTGCTTTTATGAAAAAATTCACTGTGACCAGAGAGAACCTTCCTAGGCGATGTCACTGGGTGCACTAACTCAGACCGAGTTGCTCAATGCTTGCCCAATGGGGAAAAATGCGTACTACAAAAGCTCTGCTTTGCCCAGTGATCAATTCCAGTTTGGGGAGTGTACTACCTGTGTGTGTATGTATATGTATATATATACATATATATGTAGGTATGTTTGTGTGTAAGTATATATGAAGTCAGAATTAACTCAACGGCAGTGGGGGGAGGGTCTTGAAATATATTTTGATTGTGTTTTTCAAACGTATTGTCTATGCTGGATTAAAAAGAAAAAGAAAGAAACTAATCAGTGTCTATGAAAGCAACCATGAGAAAAATCAAACGCCATGTGCATTGGTC